AGGACCCCTGTGGTTCCTTTGTGCCTGCCTGGAGAATACAGGAGTCTTCCCAGCTCAAGGTCATCTCCTTTGTAACCTTAGTTCCCTTTTGCCATGTAAACAGGTTCCCAAGTTATGGCAGGGGCATTATTTGGGGCCATTCTGCCAACCACAGAGGGATGGTGATGTTTTTCCTATGTGGCTCTCCAGTTGACCCAGCACCACTTCCTGTAAAGACCGTCCTTTGTTCAAGGATAATTTTTCTGTTGCTTGTGCAGGCTGGGTTGGGGAGGAAATCCCAGGAGATGGGATGGTGTTCTGCAGCCACCTGGTCTAGATGTCCTGGATGGAGCTGCCACAGAAATCAGAAGTGGATTAGGCAATCGTGAAAGACGTTTGGGTCACCGTCCTGGTCTGGGAGGCAGGACACTGGAGCTTATTCCTTTCTGTTTTGATGACTGGGTTATCTCAGCAGGCTCCTCTTCTCCTCGAGCCTCTGCCTCTGTCTGATCTCAGGGACCCTCCTGCCCAGCACTGGTTTTCTTCCTTTGGGCAATTGAATCTCCATGTGCTGTTCGCTTGCTCTGTGACCTTGGATGAATCCGCTCTGGGACTCAATTTCTCATTCTTTGAAATGGGAGTAAAGGCGGGTCAGAGGGCAACTTGAGCTGTGTTGTTCCCCAGCCCTCTGCCCAGGCCTGGTGGGAGACCCCATCTGGCAGAGCCAGGCTGATGCCTGCCCAGCGACGTGGGCTACTGGCAGCAGGGCTCCAGTTGTCCAGTTGGCAGGGCTGTCGGTGACCACAGCCAGGAGCAGGCTGTGCGGCCCTGGCTGTGTCCTGGTTCTGAGCATGCCTACATAACTCAGGGAAATATTGACGTTCCTTCCCCTCCCTAGACCTGACGCAACCCTGAGCCCCTTTGTTCTTTGCTGGAAGACAGACAGGATCCCTCCAAACCTGAGGAAAGTTGGTCACATCCCGTGTGTCCCGTTCATGCAAGACTGGCCATTCCCAGGGCCCTGCAGTCGCCCCAGGTTGTTGGCAGGACAGGGAAGATACTGACTTGACAAAATGGGAACTGCGACCCTGAGCTCGGAGGCTGTGAGGCTGGTGGGCACATGGGGCTGGAAGCCAGGCTCTGGACTCAGGCCCTGCTTGTCTCCCAGCTGCAGGTGCCAGAAAAGATAGGAGTCGCCTGGGGCTCTTGGGTTTGTCCTTCCCTGCATAGCACCGTGAGTGCCCCGTGCTCTCGAACATGCTGCTGGCGCAGTGTGCTCTGCTTTCCCCACCATCGTCCCGGCCTCATTCTCCCTCCCGGTCTCCAGAGCCATGTCGGCTGATGGAGCCTGGGTTTCAGCCGCAGCTCTGCTCTGAGGCTTGGGAGGATCCCTTCTCCACTGTTCTGGATGGCTGCCAGGCCCCTTGGTACTCCCAGGGCAATTCGGGACCCCAAGCAGGGTCCATCACCACCCCATCCTGGGGCCCCCTGTCCTCTGGCTGGCAAGCGTGCTGAGCATGTATGGCCCAGACTGACTGCAGCTTCCCGCAGGGCCTCGCTGACCCAGTGAGAGCAGAGGGTGGGTGTAGGGACAGGGGCCCAGGTACACAGGTGCCATCTTTCTGGTTCTCCCAGGATGGAGGGGTAGCCAGCCTGAGGCTCAGAGCTTTGGCTTCTGACTGAAGCTGGCAGGACTTGCAGGAGCCTGGCCCGGCCCGCCCTGCTCTCGGCTTGTGCTTGGGGATTCTAGCGTTACCACCGGGGCAATTTCCTGCTCCTCGGGCAGCCGCAGACAGGATGAACCTCCCTTCCCAGCTGGATGGGACGGGCAGCAGGTGCCAGCTGGGAGTAGACTTGTGGAGGTGGTGGTCACACCCATCTCTGGGGTGCCTGCTGGGTCTGGGGGTTTGGATAGCCCTGGTTTCTGGTGCAAGCATGAGTGTTGGGGTACCCGGGGGGCAGGACTAGGGTAGCCCATGCCCCGCCCACATAAGGGCTCACCTTCAGTTTGTGCAGCCTTGGCCTGGTGGCCAGCATCTGTGGGGGTTCATTCTGTTTGGGGACTGTTTGCTCTCCCCTCCTCTCATATCTGTCTTTCTTTGTTTTTTTTTTATTAAAAAGTGATTATGAAATTATTTTAGGCATTCAAATAAAGGAATAGAGAAGATACAATGAACATCCATGTACATCCTGTAGGACTTAAGAAACAAATCTTATAAATAGAAATGAAGCCCCAGTTACCCCGCCCAGGCCTCTCCCCATCCCCAAAACCGCATTTCCCAGCTGTAGCATGGAGGGCTGTGATAAGCTCCCTGCAGATACGTTCCGGGGTGCACGTTCCAGGGTGCACGGCTAGGTCTTCCGCCCCTGCAGGGCCCCCCCAGACTGTGCCTGTGCCAGCCCACCAGTTTTGCTCTGAGGCCTTTCTAGAACTTGGTATCACCTGGCTTTTTGACTTGTTGCCCATCTGATTGGGTGGGAAACGGGAGCTCCTGGTGGCTTGGACTTGCATTTCCCTGATGACTGGGAGGCCCAGCGGCTCCATTGGACATCCTGTCCTCGAAAGCTGCCCCATTCATGCCCTTCTGTTGTTGGGGTGCCCTCAAGTCCATACCCTCTGATGCCTTTCTTCTCTCCAGCCTCTCACATTGTCTGCCGGTGGGTGCCCTGGACCTGTGCCCCTCATTCTCCCAGCCTCAGCTGTCCCCATCACTGTGCTTCCTGTTCCATGCCCTGCCAGGGTCCCTTAGTCACCTGACACCTAGCATGTCCCAAACTGAGCTCCCACTTCCAGCTCCTTCCTGTTCCTCCTGGGTCTCTCCCAGTGGGCCCCTCCCAGTTTGAGAGATTCTGCCACCTGCTGGAACCCTGAGCGCCCCACCCACCCTCACTGTTGGCCACCAGGCACTACTCAGCATCTCTCCTCTCTGTTGCCTTCGGCCTCGCTGTTGTTGTGTCCCTGGCCTTTTCTGTGAACATGCACATCTGGTCTGTCACATCTCTTGCTTAATGTCCCCCGTGGCTCCTCAACCCTCCAGCCTGATTCCTGGAAGTAGTTGTGAGCATTGGGGTGCAGTGGGGCAGGACTAGGGGAGCCCATGCCATACCCACATAAGGGCTCAGCTTCAGTTCCAGTACCCTTGACCTGGTGGCCAGCACCGGAAGACCCCTCTCCCTATCACTGTCCCTTCGTCTCTGAATCCCACCCCTCCACACACATTTTAGCCACTAGATCCTCCGCTGTTTGACTGGACGGAGTGTGGTCTCTGCCTTGTCTTGTTCCAACACCCCCGACCTGCCCCCCACCCTAGTCTCGGAGCCTCCCCCGTCCCCGTCCCACCCCCTTGGTGTGTTGTGCCTGAGCCTCGGGGCTTTCAACCTGTGGGCAGGGACGCCCCTGCACTCCTGTCACAGGCTTAGGAGAGGAGCCGAGCATGGGTACCCTGACTGCCAGGACCCCTGAAGAGGGAGGGGAAGTGAAGCTCAGGGGAGCTGCCGTGAGGTTTGGGCCATGCTGCCTCAGCCGGCAGCCCTCCCAGCAGGAGGCCCAGGGGTGAACCATGGCCAGGTCCCCCTTCAGAGTCTGGGAGCCCCCTTCTGGATGCCGCCTCTCTTGCCCTCTGGGCAGGCTGGCATGTGGAAATGGGCTTTCTGGTGCCCTATTTGGCACTGGCTGTCCTTCCGTCGGGGCCGCACCCTGGGCTGCCAGTTGGCAGAAATTTCTTGGTCCTCATCTCCACTGAAACTTTGGTGTGCCACCCCCCGGGCAGCTGAAATGAAAACCCTGAAATGCAGCCTGGGTTTGTCTTCAGTAAATGGCAATTGAGGGCAGCACAAAGGGGGCCTGTTGGTCTGAATGCCACCCGCCCTCTCCCGCCTCTCCCACGCCCGCCTTGTCTGGGCCCGAGTCCCTGGGGGAGGTGGAGTGGGCACCCCAGGCCCTCAGAGACCGTAATAGAGACCTGACAGTAGGGACAGTGGCCCTTCCCAGCAGCTCCTGTGTGCCAGGCATGGAGGATGCTTGTGGGCTGCGTTCTTTGAGGCAGCAATGCTTTTACCCCATTTTGCAGGTGATGAAACTGAGGCACTGGGCCAAGCTCCCACAACCACTCTGGGTCTGGGGTTTGGACCTCCACGAAGCTTAAATCGACTTCCTCCCCTGCCTCCCAGGCCTCCCTCATCAGCTGCATTGTGGCCAAAGGCCAATTTATCACCATGTCTAGCTTTTTCCAAGAAACCCTTTCTCTTCCTCCACCCCAAGAACAGGGCTGAGTCACTAAGGCTGGGTTGCCCGAAGCCTCCTCCCCCTCTTCCTGTTCACCATTTTTCTCTCCTCATCTCCCCCTCCCCATGCTTCCCCTGCAGGGGTGGCCCTAGGGGAGGTGGGGGAGGGAGGGATGGGCTGCTTGCCTCCCCTCCCTGCCCCGCCCCTGCAGTGGTGGCCGCCACTGAGTCAGTGCTGCGTCCGCTCTCCTCCCGCCAGCTCCCTGGTCCCCTTTGTCAGCGAGGCACAAGGCACATGGACAGTTTCTCCAGAGGTCAGGGGTCTCACAAATGTTACTCCTGGCCTGGGCCTGGCCATGTGGGAGCCAGCGGAGGGACAGACTGGGGTCTGGTCTCAGCCACTGTGTGACGTTGGATGAATTCCTGAACTTTGAGCTTCAGAGACTCTAGCTCTAAGGTGGGCACTGGCTCGTGAGGGCTCGTGAGGATAATGAGGCCACATTCCTACAAGGCCGGATACAGATTCTTCACACTGGAGGCTGCTGGGATCATCAGGGTCGGAGGGCAGCAGGGCCACTGTGGGACCTTCCAGAAGCTTCTGGGAGGAGTGTCCATGGGGATTTGTCCTCCGGGCTGCTGAAGGTGTGCTCTCTATTGAGTTTCTGGGTCTTGGGCTCTGTGTCAGATGTCATGCTGGGGCAGGGTTCTTGAGGGGAGATTGTGGCCCCACCTGTGGTTGCCTGTGAGCTCTCAGGAGGCAAGATGAAGATAAATGAGAACAATATCCTCTCTCCTAGCTCAGTGTGCCCTGAGGTGTCTGCGGGCCAAACTCCTGGGAGACTTCCTGGAGGAGGAGGAGGCATCAGGCTAGAAGTTCTCACAGGTGGTTGGAATAGGTAAGGTGAAGCAGGTGGGAGAGAAGGGAGGTGGGGAAGTATCAATTGAGCAAGCCTGGTTGGGGACATGGTTGTAACACTTGGTCACTGTCTGCAAGGGCACACTGGCTAGTGGAGAGGTCAGACTGGCTACATGAAATGCCATGGCATCAGCCAGCCAGCTGGGCTGATCACCACAAGCCACTCAGTCCTGAGTACTGGGCCCTGCAGAGATGAGAGGGACCTTCTGGGCCTCTCCCTGCCAAGAGCCAGCATCACTCATTTGTTCAACAGTGATTTAACATGCTCCTATAGGCACCCTTGTCAGAACTAAGGGTACCATAGCAAACAAACCGGACCAAAGTCCCTGTCCTGGTGCAGTGGAGAAAAACAAGACAGAGTCAGGGTGGGGAGGACTGGGTAGACGTTGTAACCTTAGATGGGAACGTCGGAGCAGATTCTTGAAGGAGATGAGCAGTACACCTGGATATTTGAGGGAAAAGCACTCCAAGTAGAGGGAACAGCATGTGCAAAGGCCCTGAAGCTAGACCATGCTTAGTGTGATCCAGGAGCGGCCGGAGGCCGCTGAGGCTTGAGTGGAATTGGTGAGGGAGGGTCAATAATGGGAGGGTCGGAGGTGAGGAGGACCTTGAAGGCCACTGCACTAACTTTCATGGAGAACCTTCAAGGATATTTTTAATATAATTTGTCAAAGTTGAGATTTAATTTATAGAACATAAAATTCACCCATTTTAAGTGTATAGTTTGATGACTTTTGATATAAACACACAGTTGTGCAGCTATTACTGCAATCCAGTTTTAGAACATTTCTTCCACCCAGGAAGTTTTCTCACCCGTTTTCAGTCCATCTCTGTTCCAGTGGGGCAACCTGTTTTCTGTCGATAGTTTTGAGATTTTATAGGCCTAGAATCCTACAATACGTGGATCCCTTAGCATAGTGCATTTTGAGGTTCGTCCATACCGTTGCCTGTGCCAGTGTTTCCTTCCTATTGCTGAGCGCTGTACTACTGTATAGATGCTCTGTTTGTGCGCTCATCAGAGGATGGACATTTGGCTTTTTACCATTTGCTGGCTATTATGAATAAAGTTGCTATGAACATGTAAAAATAAATCTTTATATGAATATACGTTTTTATTTCTCTTGGGTGGTTGGGTCATATGGTAGGTTTGTATTTAACTTTTTAAGAAACTGCCAACGCCCTGGTTGGTTTGGCTCAGCAGGTGGAGCGTTGGCCCATGGACCAGAGAGACCCAAGTTCAGTTCCCACTAAGAGCACGTAATCGGTTGCAGTTTGTCCCTGGCCCTGGTTGGGGTCCTGTGGGTGGTGACCACTCCATGCGTCTCTCTCACATCGATGTTTTTCTCTCTCTCTTCCTCTCTCTCTCCCTCCTGCTCTATCTCAAGATAAATGTAAGAAAAAAAAAAGTCCTCAGGTAAGGATAAAAAAAAAAAAAAGAAACTGCCAAACTGTTTTCCAAGGTGGTTGTACCGTTTTTCATTTTCACCACCAATACACATGTTCCAGTTGCTGTATATCCTCATCAGCACTTGATATTGTCAGTTCCCATTTTTAGCCTTTCCAATTGGTGTGAAGTGGTATCTCCTTGAGGTGTTTTTTTTGTTTTTTTGTTTTTTTTAAATCTTTACCCGAGGATATTTTTCCATTTATCTTCAGATAGAATGGGAGGGAGTGAGAGAGAGAAACATGGATGTGAGGGAGACACATCGACTGGCTGCCTGCCATACGACCCCAACCAAGGCTGGGGATGAACCGCAGCCGAGGTACATGCCCTTGACTGGAATCAAACCCACGACTCTTTGGTCCCCGGGCTGACGCTCCAACCACTGAGCCAAAGGGGCCAGGGCACCCTCTTTGAGGCTTTGATCTTCATTGCCTAATGACTGATGATGTTGGTCCTCTTTTCCTGTGCTCATTGTTTGCATGTCTTCCTCGGTTGGTGAAATGGCATTCAGATCTTTTGTTCATTTTTCATAGGTTGTCTTATTAGTGAACTGTAAAGGTTCTTTGTATGTTCTGAATACAAGTGTTTTATTAGATATATGATTTGTAGCTTTCTTCTCTGGGAAGGTCTTGGGCAGAAAAGGGGCCAGGGGCATGCATGGGGAGGGGTTCTTTGCTCCTCGCTTCAGTCCCAGCAACACACTTTCCTCTCCCTCGGGTACGTGGGACTCGGCATCAAGATTTCCTAGGTCATAGGGTTTCCCGGCTAACCCGGGAAGCAGGAAGCTCGGGTGGCCATCCATTCGCCGTTACCAGAGACCGCCTCGCATGCCCTTGTTGGCTCGGTGAGTCCCTCTCTGGCTTGGGGATGCCAACCCAACCCCGCCAGGCTCACAGAGGGGCACGCCTCGAACTATGGGGCAATTCCCCAGTGAACGAGCTTCCTGGAGGGCTGGATTCTGGGGAGCAAGGAAGCAGCTCATGCTCTAACCTGGCCAAATGTCCCCGGGCCCCAGAATTCCCAGGGTGTCAGAGTTGTGGATCAGGAGATCGTAGTGTTGGATCTGCAGGCTCCAAGGCCAGGTCAGGGTCGGCAAGAAGGCCTCATCTCAGCTCACCTGGACATGTGGGTGTCACCACTGTGTGCCTTGGGGGAGCTTATTTTCTCTGTTCCTATGGCTGGCAGCCCCACAGAAGGAGCTGATCCTCCCCAGGACAGGGGATAGTGTTGCTGGCCTGAGAGCCATTCTGAGGACACTGCATATTCTTTCCGAGAGCACTGTAGGTTGGCTTCTGTATTAGCCAGCAATAGTGTCCCTCAAATAGGTTTAGGCAAAAAGAGAAAACAATGCCCACGTGTGTGAGACTGGTGGCTGATGTAAGCGAGGTGCTTAGGGACCATCTTCAGGCTCAGCTGGATCCAGGCGCTCCTGATTCAGTGACTCAGCTCTGCTTTCGTGTGGGATCGCTCCTGGCGGCTCTCCCACGCGGTGGCTGGGATGGCCCCGCAGTTCCTGGCGTCCGTCCCGCACCCAGGCAGCCCCAGAGCAAGAGCACTTCTTCCTAAAGGTTCCAGCCAGCGCCCAGGCCCTGGTGCTCCTTGGGTCACGTGATTTCCCCTCGGCTTCCCCCAGGGTCTCTGACGAGGCCTGGGAGGCCTGGGTCATGTGTCTACTCCAGGTGTGTGTGCGAGGTCAACCCACATACGTTATGTGGCTCAAGAGTGGAGAAAGGGTTCTCTAAAAGGGAATAATGTTCTCTGACCAAGGGTGCGATAGGAAGACGGCCGGCCGCACTGCCGGAGGGTGTGGCACCCCTGACCCTCAGAGTGGGGTGGAGCTTTCATCCAGAATCCTCCGTGCATCCTGCGTGCTTTGCATTCCCTCTCCCCACTGGACAGTGTGCTCCAAGGCAGAGGCCTGTGGCTCTGGGGCAGGATGGGCCTGGCCCATGGTGTGCCCTCCATAGACGTTTGGTGCAATAGAGGGTGTGCACCCGGACAGTGGGGGTGGAGCCAGAGGATGAAGGGGGGCTGTCCTTTATGCCGCCCCTTCAGTCTCCCTGCAGCCAGCCCTATTTTGCTGGCATCTGGTACCTGAACTGATCACCTTGGAGACTGGAGGCTTCCCCTCTCAGGAGTCCCCTTTGTCAGACACTAGTGCCCCCTACACACTGGACACCATATGCGTGTCTCCATGTAGCCATGCAGGCAGGGAGCTATAATGGTGGGAGGGCAGGCAGAGGGCAGGTGAGTCCATCCTGGCGAGGATGGAGGCCTGTCTGTGTCCTCATGCCAGGTGGAGTGGGCAGTGCTGGGAGGGCGAGCCCGAGAACTGCGGCCGGGTGGCGAGGCAGAGCAGGGAGCTGGCTGATGACCTGGGGTGTTGCTTTGTCCAGCCCGCACCAGGAGGGATGTGAGTTACTGGCCAGTCCTGTAGAGTCTGAGGACTACGGAGAGTAGCCACCAGGTTGCTGTGTGAGGACCCTCACCAGTCTGTGCTCTGTGGTGAGCCGTGCTCAGCTTTTGGTCCTCCTGATCCTAGTTTGGGGTTGCCTGGGTTCATTCGCAGTCTGCAGACCCCAGGCCAGTTTGCTCCTGATTCTCGCCTCCTTGCTGCCACTGCTCTGTGCCTCAGTTTCCCTATGTCGGAAAAGGGGGTGCTGATGGTCTGTACCTCACAGTGTTGGCAGTGCTGGAATCCTGCTGTGTCGGCATCAGGGTGATGTTGTGATGTCATCTCCTGTTCTCTGCCTGCAGGTGAGTGACGATGACAGAGAGGACGTGACCTGCACGGGCCCTTATCCACCCACTGAGTGGCACCACCATGCAGAAGCCCAGCGGCCTGAAGCCCCCCGGCCGTGGGGGGAAACACTCGAGCCCCATGGGCCGGACGTCCACTGGGTCAGCCTCGGCCTCGGCCACAGCGGCAGCCACCGGCTCCAAGGAAGGTGCGCGGGGCCCAGAGTGGTAGGGTGAGGGGTGGGTGAGGGTGTGGCTCTCCTCAGAGAGCCGCCCTGTGACCAGCCTGGAGGCCAGCGGCACAGGGACGTTCTTCTTTCTGTCTGACTGATTCCTTGAACAATTAACTAGTGACAAGCACTAAGGCATGCTTTATGTGCACTGTTCCTGGGCGTGCTCCCCAGCCCAGGAGGCAGGCGCCCCCCCCCCCCACTGCCCAGGAGGCAGGCACTCCTCCCCGGCCCAGGAGGTGGGTGCCACCCCCCCCCACCCCGCCCCGGCCCAGGAGGCAGGCGCCCCCCCACCCCGGCCCAGGAGGCAGGTGCCCCCCATCCCCCGGCCCAGGAGGTGGGTGCCACCCCGCCTCCCCCCCCCCCCCCCAGCCCAGGAGGCGGGTGCCCTCCTCCCCGGCCCAGGAGCAGGTGCCATGCTTGGCTCCACTACAGGTGAGGACTGGAGTTCCAGGGAGGCCTGGCATCTTGCCCAAGGTCACTCACACTCCACCGCTTCCTTGCCTCACTTCATTCTCCTTCCAGGGTCCGAGATTGTCCTAGAGGATCCAGCCCCATCTGCCCCCCAGAACCATGCCCTTCAACCTTTCCCTGTCTGACCTCCAGTCTTCCTGTCGGTGGGCAGGGGCACTCTGGCTGGAGGCACCAGCTCTGCGGGAAGTTGGTAGAGAACAGCTGTTAGTAACTTGCTTTTTCTGATCATAAAAGTACAAGATAGACCCTTGGGATGTGTCAAAGTTTGATCAGGAGTAAAATTGCCTATAATCCCACTCCCTGGACTCAACTATTATTTTGGTTTATGTACTTATTCTTTTTTTTCTCACTATTTCTAATCATGCTACACCTACAACATGAAAATCTGCTTTTTTCCATGTGATAGGATCAGGTAAATTTTTCACATCATTAAAACTTCACATGCACCCTGGCCTGTTTGTCTCAGTGGATAGAGCATTGGCCCATGGACCAAAGAGTCACGGATTCGATTTTGGCCAAGGGCATGTACCTTAGTTGTGGTTCGGTCCCTCGGCCTGGTCAGGGTCGTGTGGGAGGCAGCCAGTTGATGTGTCTCTCACATCAGTATTTCTCTCTCTCTCTCTCTTCTTCCCACTCTATCTGAACAAAAAATGGAAAAATGTCCTCGGGTGAGGATTTAAAAAAGTATTCTATTCATTCAACAAATATAAGTCAAGGGCCCGCCTTGTTGACACAGTCCTAACCCCTGACCACTGGAACACTCATTCCGAGCAAAACTGGGTGGTCCCAGTCCTCAGGGGGCTGCCAGTCCAGTGGGGGAGGCTGAATGTCACGATATCCTGGAATAAGGGCCTGCCCAGGAGATGGGAGGTAGGACATGTGAGCTGGGGTCTGGAAGGTGATGGCTCACTGGATGGAGAGGGGAGGGTGTTCCAGGCAGAGAGAACAGCACGTGCAAAGGCTCAGTGGCAAGAGGGAGCATGGTGAGTACAAGGGAGGAAAAGAAAGCTAGTGAGGCTGGAACATGATCAGTGAGAAGCGTGATGGTGAGATGGTGGGCCGGGTGGGGGCAGCTTGGGGTTAGGCAGGGCGTTTTACTAACATCCTAATAGCAGTGGGAAGCCACGGGAGGATTATAAATCCAAAGGAACATGATAGAAGGAATGGGGAAAATGTTTAACCCATTCTCTGCGGTTGAAAATTGTGATAGTTTTTTATTTTTCACTTTGATAAATGATGCTGTGATGAACATCTTTGGGCACAAATCTTTGCTCTTATCATACTGCAGCCATCAAGGTAAGATGCTGTCCATGTCATGTGATTGGCACAGACGTTTGGAGACATAAAAAGTAGCCAGAGGCCAGGCTGGGAAATCTGGGTCCTGGGTTGGGTCAAGGAAAGTTTTGAGACAAAGGCCTGGGCAGTTCACAGACCCGGGTCCCTGGCAGAGTGAACAGCCAGCACGACAGCATGAGGAGGCTGTGCGGTGCGGCCCACAGGTGACCCACACGGGCAGGTCTGCCCGGCACACCCTCGTTTGAAGGTCCAGACTTCCCCTCCGAGGTGGCAGATCTTCCTTTGCCCACAGGATGCACTCCTGGGCAATGAGAAGCCAGGCAAGAGCAAACAAGGCGGGAAGGGTGTTCCAGTGGAGAGAACAGTGATGCAGAGGCCAGAGGCAGGAGAGGCTGGTTTGTTAGGAAGGAAAGCAGTCTGGGTAGAGAGGAATGTGAATGAGGTTGGGGGGGTGGCAGAGGCCAGTTATGAAGGGCAGGGGTTTGGGTTTAAGTGTGCTGGGAGCTGTTGGAGGGTATCAACAGAGGAATGTACACATCCCTGAGGCTGCCCTGTGCAGAACGGGCTGCAGGGCTTAAGAGCAGGGCTTGGGGAGACCAGTGACATGTGCTCACCCAGGTGAGGATGTCTGCATTCACTGCTGAGGCTCTGAGGTGTCAAGGGGCTCACCAGCACGACCATGAGTGGGCCATCAGGGAAGACTTCCTGGAGGAAGCCTGAAAGAGTGTAGCCTTGAGAACGGGGGCAGTGTACGTGCTGGAGAGGAGGAGGACTTGCAGGCAGTGGAGAAGAGCGAGCATAGGCAAAGGCACCAAATGGGCTGCGCTTGGTCCAGTGGGGGGTGCAGATGGTGGTGGCGGTTGTGTAGCCCACTCTTTGGAGAAAGGCACCAGTCAGGCCTGACCCTGACCCTCACCCACCCATAATCTCATTACAGAAAAACTTGAAAGTGATAAAAGAAGAAGCAGCCCTCCACTGAACCTAATCACAGCCACCACTGTGGTGTATTTCCTTCCCATCCGTTTTCCTATCGCACGTGTTGTTTAAGTAGTTAAATCATGGGTTGTACCCATATCTGCATTTTCCTTTCCCACCTTGATTGTGCCTGCCATGTCTTTGCCGTCCTTTTGAATGGCTGCATAGTAGTTCCTCAAGGGAATGGGGATGGAGCACAGTGTGGCGTGCTGGTTGCTTCCCACTCACAGTGCCCAGTGGCCTGGGAGCTCTTGAGGGTGGGGGCTGGGTGGTCTGACTTGGCCTGGGCCCTCCTACCCAAATGGCTGTTCCAGAGAGCGGAGGTACCACTCTGTGAATGTCAGATTGATTACAGAGCCATGCCCCCATGTTCTACGTGGGCACGAAAGGCTGCAGCTGGGCTTCGTGGTACCCTCCCTCCTCTGGCACCAGCTGCCTTTGCAGACACCAGGCTAGGGGAGGGAGTGGCGAGCCAGGAGAGTTGGCAGAGGCAGAGAAGCCTTGTGAGAGGGGAAGGGAGATTTCTGGCACCCAGAGCTGCTTTGTCCCTGCTCCAAGTCTCAGAACAAGAGTCTCCGGAGAGGAGGGGTGGGTGGAGGCGCCAGGGCAGGGCTGCGCTCCCCCCCTCTTGGTGGCCCCTCAGGCTGCCTCCCCCACCCCCTGGAACTGGCCATCTGCTCTCCAAGGTGCTGGAGGTGCTGCCCCCGTCGGAGGCTGGGACCCCGTGTGAGTGTCACCAGGGCACTGAGAGATGGGTTTGGCAGAGACCGGAGCCTGTTTGGGGATAGGGGACAGGAAAAAGCTGGAGTCTGTTCTGGGAATGGGGGGAGTGGCTGCCTCCCAAAGCATGAGCTCAGCCTCCTGGCAGGGGGTCTGGTCAAGGGCTGGGCCTGGACTGATGCCCCCAATCCTGCCCCTTGGAGATGGGAAGGCCTGTGTTGGTCCCCAGAGCTGTGACACCCAGGGAGCAGCAGAGCCAAGGGAGCTGTTGGAGGGGGTCTCTCATACTAGAGGTGATCAGAGCAGGTGCACAGGAGGGTGGCCTGAGACTCCCCAGTGGGCAAAGGCCTAGGTGGGGCAGCGAGGTCCGGGGCATCCCAGCCTGACGGGATGGGGCACCTGGAGGCTGCTTCAGATCAGGAGGTCAAGGGGGGTCTTGCTCAGGAGGTGACACTGGTGCACAGCTCTGAGTGACAGGAGCCAGCCCAGCTGAGTTGGGGAAAGCACCAAGGCAGAGGGAATAGTGCTGCAAAGGCCCCGCGGTGTGAGATGTCTGAGAACCAGAGAGCAGCTTGAGTGGCCAAGGGGGAGTGTCACTGATGGGCCAGGGCAGGAGTCAGGGCCCCAGATGGAAGTTGGGGAGCTGCGACTGGGGCCACCTGGGTGTCCCTCTTAGCCCCAACAAGAAGGGCTGACTGCAGTGACCTGGGGAGGATTCGAGCGCACCACAGGCCACTAGCTTCCTCGGATGGGGCAGGTAGGTCCTTGAAGGACCTTTCCCCTCCCTTGCAGTGTGGTCCAGCCCCAGAGATGTCCTGTCTAGGAGGGATGACGTTTGACACTTGCTGTGTCACAAGCAGGCTCTGCAGCAGACATCTTATCACACTTCTTTCTCATTAACAACCCAGTGAGGTAACTGCTCTTCTCTCCATTTTAAAGATGAAAAAACTGAGGCTTGGGGCTCTCAGCTGAGTTGCCCAGAGTTACAGGGCCAGAGAGGTGGGGCTGGAGTTGAGACTCAGACTGGGCTGGGTCTGAAACCCTGCACCCTCTGGTGCTCCGGACATGGCAGCCAGCCTGCCCTGCCCCGGGTAGGTCCCCGAGCTGGCCTCTAGTCTTAGACACTGACCCCTCCCCCTCCCTCCCCAGGGAATTGTTTTTCACTTTGGTACCCATGCTCCCTGGGAGGGCAGCAGGCATCATCCCCGTTGTAAGTGACTTGTTCCAGATGCTGTGCGAACCTGGGCAGAGCTGGGCCTCTTCCAGCCTTGCCCCCGGAGCCAGCACAGCCCCAGGCAGCACTCACTCCCTTCAAGGTCAACCTCTCTGGCTCTCCCTGACCACATCCTAAACTTTTTAATGGCATCAGGATGGGGAAAGCCAAGCTGAGCTATTTTGTGGCTGGGCTGGGGGGAGGGGAGGGGCAGCGAAGCTCCTGACGTCGCTGGTATTGATCCAGGGGGTGGGGGCCCAGCTGCCAGCACTGCCTGCTGTGTGTGGCCGCAGCAGGGCTT